TTGCGTTTACGTTGTAGTTTATTTCAGAGTTTCAATAAAAAATTTTCTATGAAATGATATTTCTAATATTATTATTATCAAAATTAAGATTTTTTAATAATTTATTTTTCATTTTAATTTTCAGGTGTATTTTCAAATTTAAAATTTAACAATTTTGAAGATAATGAAGGGGATTCACTGGCTGAATTTATCAGTTTTTATATGTAGTTTTATATTTTGGTACATTAACGCTGGGGTGGCGCCACACGTTTTTCAGTCCTAAGGAGTGCAATTCTCACTTTTTCACTCCTAAGTAGTGCATTTCTCACTTTTATACTGCTCAACGGTAAAAAGACCTACTTCTCATGCTTAACTACCGTCGGTAAAAGAGCCCTTTTTGGGCTTGAGCAATGAAAAATTATTTTTTAAAGGCCGAAAATTGACAATGAAAAGGGCACACCATGCATAGGCATGAACGTCACGGCCGCGGCGGCATTAGTTATTGGATATTTCTTGACAGTTTTGTTGCGTAGCAATGAGAAGGATCAATTTTGAACATTAAAATATTACAAAAAAATTATTGCAAAATTTATCCCGATCTTTGCTATACAGAAATGCTTCAGGGCAGTATGCGATGGATTTTGAAGATCGAGGGGTATTAGGCGGATCATTTCTTCGATTCCAATCGTAGTCGATCAGATTGCAGTGTTCGGGGTACATGACATATTCCACCCAAATACGCGTAATATCTGTCAAATCAGTAGAAAATAATTTCCCTGTAGCCTGTCAATTATTTTCTACTGATCACACGTAACACACTGATGATTTTCCTGTCGCCGATGGATCAGTGCAGTATTTGGGGTTACATCACACGTTTCACACTGATAATTTCTCTGTAGCCGAGGAAATTATCAGTATAAAATGTGTGATGTAACCCTAAATACTGCACTGATTGGGCGAGATCAGATAAGAGGAAATAATTCGAAAAATTTATCAGATCCAGGGACACGCACGAAAAAATTTAATAAAAAAACCTAGCGAATTCCCTAGACAAATCTTTTGGATTTCTATTGAACTTTCTATTAGTTCTTGCCCGATTCTATTGAAATTTTCAATAGAAAATATTTTATAGAAAAAGGCAATGAAATTACATTTATCTATAGAACTCATTCTATTGAGATATTTTCTATAGAATTTCCACGGCACAAATTTTCTAAGTTTTTCTGCTTGATGTCCTTGACGGAAAGAAAAGAAAAATAGAGTGAAAAAAAACTTCGAAAATTTGAGTCGAGAAAATTCTATAGAAAATATCTTAATAGAATAAGTTGCATAGAAAAATTGAAGTCTATCAACTTTTCCTATAAAATATTCTCTATTGAACATTTCAGTGGAATCGGCCAAAAACTAATAGAAAGTTTAATAGAAATTTAATAAAATTATCTAGCGATTTTAATAGAATTTTCTAATATTTCTTTTTGTGTGTGGAACAAAGTGAAAACGGGCTCAAATCAACGTTTGAAGTTTTATTTTTCAATTTTCACCATCAGGGAGCAAAATACGAACTTTCCTTTGCAGGCGTGTTAAAAAATAGCATGTGCACCTCGGGCGGGAAAACATGACTTTCCGCCCTCGATGCACAATATACAATTTTTTTAATCGAGGAAATTTCTGGTCAAAAACTATGTTTTGATTTTTTTCCAGGCATTTTCGAACATGGTAAATTAGATCGAAGAATTTCGAATCTAAAACATTCCATTACGTGGAACGCGTCCAACACTCTGAGGTTAATGGCCGTTTCCACCACTCTATACACTTTCCATAAGAATTACCTGGGTCCACTATACCGGACATAGTATGACTCAGGCTAACTTTCACGTTAGAGGGTTGGTTCTCTACTAGCCGAGAAATCTTCTTTTCTACGGATGAGTATTCAAAAGAACCAAGAGAAATTATGGAAAATTTTGAAGCTGGATTTTTCTGCGATATTGCGTGAAATAGCCCACATATAATGATTCACTAAAGTTCTAAAACAACATGAACTTTCATCTTATATATTCTGTTTCGAAGCTGTAGACAATATTATTTGTTAATGTTTCATAATATTTTCTGTCATTTGCGTTTAAAATTAGGGAAACAATGAATTACGATTACACAGCTGTTCTCCAGAAGGAGAAAAGAGTCGTTTGTCTCTAATAGTAGTTTTAAAGATACTACAAAAATCCATTTCGTTCAATGAAAGGCTGTTCAAACTGTATCACGACAGCTATTTGGATAAAGCAGATCATTTCTTTTTCAATTTTGCACGCAATGACCCTATATTTCCAATGGCATCATTCACAATCATCAATCTCGGAACCGGTTCAAGGAAGAAAAAATACTGGAATTCGAACAATTTCCATCCGCAGCTCAACAATTTCAAGCACAAAGATGACACGTTTAACATGGACTTTTCTGTTAAGTTACTTACCTGTTGCCGTAAGTGCATCTTCAAGCTCAGCAGGTGGCGCACTTCTCGTCTCCTTCCTACCTTCGAAATCATTTTCGAGGAATTGATCTGAGTGAAGACAAAATAATTTAAAATTACGTACCAAAGAGGGCAGTTTTAGGCTGAAATTAACATCTCACCAGTCAATTGTATGATGCTGAGTCCGTTTTGCACGTCGCCGGCTACCATACTCATTCAAAAATAAAATGATCTTGGCAACAATTCACTGTTGTCGTACACATCAACAAACTCCCTTCAACAGTATAATATTTCGATTCATCAATTCAATGACAAAGCAATAAAACAAATCTCAAATCGCAGAGATGATTGTGGAATGTACTTTTGCCTACACGCTTTAATCAACGCATTACCTAATAGATCTGTTCTCACTATAATCCTGACTATATTCCCTTCGGCGACTTCTATACGAGTGACGCACAATCGTACGTCTAGGCGTGTTACCCGAAGAACTGTGGCTCGTGTGCTTTCTGTGGGAATCGTTGGCCAATGGAGAGGGTCAAACGATCCGTTAGCCTCTCACGTCTATAGCGTAGAGAAAAAAGATATGTTCTATTTGACTAAGACAATCAGAATCGCACGTTTGATAACGATTGATTTAGACTCTGATCTTACCATTTTTATCACGAGACTAAATACGCGCATCCGCGCGCGGTCTGTAATGTATGACTGGGTGAATTTTTATAAATGTAACATTACTTTTGATTTTCTTCTTTGGTAAATGTGCACGACACGTGACTCCACTTTAATTTACACATATTTATAACCGTTCGATTCAGAATTATTTATATTTTTAAAATCAACTTACTAGAAGAATCGCTCTCAAATAGTTTTAGAGTAATATGAGATATGAAGATGTGATTTTATCAACTTTAGACAGAGAAAGAACTTTACAATTCTTAATCTCATACGGTGTCTTAGTGGCGCATGCTAATTGCCATGAGTATGGGGCACAAATGACCCGTGATTCGGGGAGTCTTAAATTTAAATGTAGGAAAATCCATTACATCAAAGATCCACACTACAAATTAATTAAGAAACAATGCAATACACCACATAGCATTCTTAGTAATACTATTTTTGAAAATTTAAAAATAACATTTGAAAAGGTATTTAAAATCATTTCCTATTATATTATTACCAACAAAATCACAATTCAAACACTTGCCGAAGACCATGGTGTAACCAAAAAAAACAGTGAGGAATCTCACAAAAAAAGTAAACAAAATACTTTCTGCGTGGGCTGAGGCACGTCTTAAAGAAAAGTTGG